TCTGAGATTCTATTTTCTGTATGATCTAGTCTGCTTTTAATACTTTCAAGAGAGATTTTGACTTCCTGTATTATAGTCTTCATCTCTAACAATTCCATTTGATTTTTCTGTAAAGTGTGTAATTGCTCTTTTAGATCTTGCAAGAATTTCCTCACTTCCCAGAACTCGTCAGCTCCTTTTTCCTTTCTCTTCTGCAGTTCATTGTCTCTCCTCTCTTCCATCTCTATTAGCTTTGCCATTTGAATGTTCTAAAATCTTTATCAGACATTTTCTTAACTGTCTATGGATGAAGAGGAGTTATTCTTTTCCCTTGGAGAAGTATTGTCTTGCTTTCCCATATTTCTTGTGGTCCTGCAGTGATTTCTAGTCATCTGATGGAAAGTGTGTTTCTTCTCAAACTTGAAGTTCAATCTGAGCATCCAGGAGCGTGCAGAAAAGGAAACAGAGAGAAACAATAGCAACAAAAACAACCAAGAAACAGAGAAAAGGAGAAGAAAAAAACTAAAAAAAACCAAAAGCTAAAAAAAATGTAATTTTTTTTTTTTTTAAAGCAAAAGTTAGTCACCAGTTCTCAGTAGCCATGAAGGGGTCTTCTGAGGCCTGCTCCCTTGCCTCTTCTGGGTTGGGAGGGGGAGAGGAGATTATTAACAAGATAAAGGAAAAGGAGCGGCTGAAATCCATGAAACTGCTTAACTTTAAAAAATTTAAAAAGGAAAAATTACAAAGAAATGAGAGAAGACAGAGACAGAGATAGAGAGAAACGAAGACAGACACAGAGACAGGAGGCTTGAAAGTCTTCCTACCACGTGAGTTTGTGGGCTGGAGGCTTTCCCTGAAATCACTAGTGCTCAGTAGCCATGAAGTGTCTTCAGAGGCCTGCTCCCTTTTCTCTCCATGCAAGTTTGTGAGCTGGAGACTGAATTATCAGTAGAAAATCTTCATTTCTCCTATTTCCCCTGAAATCACTAGTGCTCCGTAGCCATGAGGAGGTCTTCTGAGGCCTGCTCCCTTGCCTCTCCTCTGTTCAGTTTCTTTAAAAGTCCTTTATTATTTTGACTTCCCTGAATGATGATGCCTTCAAAGAGTCTAAACATAATTCCTTTTATCTTTTCCCATTATCTATAAGCTATATTGGAAGATCTCATTCACCACATATAGATCTCATTTTTAAGGAGAAGAGATTAAGTTATTCATAAGATGCCTCCAAGATATTTCCTTTTTTTGTATTTTAGATATATTTATTCCTTCAAATTTATTATTTATCAGGAGTGACTGAAATAAAAAATATAATTGAGTCCCATCATCATGGAAATAATTTTTAAGAGAAGACTGGTCAGATGAATATTATTGCTTCCCGTTTTCAACCAGTAAATAGTTGCCACTGATAGACAGCCAAGGGGTTGTCAGAAATGCTCAAGATACGTTATACAGCATGCCTGTTCACAGGAGAAAAAACCTAGGAAATAACTTAGGTGAACTTCTTGATTTCATCATACAAGACAAGCATGAAATCACCACCCATCCCTGAGAACATTGGACCATGCATCCTTGAAAAAAGCTTTGCCCCCTTCGTCTCGAGCAATCTTCCTCCAGCAGTCAAGTGTGCCTGTGTACATGATATCACTTCCCTTGTGCCCCGACTGCATCATCATGCGACGACAAACGGTGTCAAACGAATAGGAAGTCAATCTGGCAATGGCGGTGACAGACTGTGCAATCATCCAGCTAATGAAGATATGAGTATTCTTGGGATCTGGAAGCATTCCCTTTGCAGTGTCATAGATAACAAAGTAAGCAGCTTGGTAGATGATGATACCCTGCACGGACATGTTAAAGCCTTGGTACAGGCCCCTAATCCCATAAGATTTGTAGATCTTAACCAGACAGTCGCCGAGGCCTTTGAATTCCCTTTCAGCCCAGCTTTACCCACATCAGCTGCTAGATGGGTATGGGCAAAAT